CTATGGCTGACCCACGTCCAATTCCACCGCCCCCTGAGCCCACCCATGCCCCTGATCACCCCACCCAACCCCTCAAATCAAGCCTCTTCAAGCCATAAAAATCCTTCCCCATCCACTTCAGCCATCAGTTCCAACGCTGTTGGTGGGCCAGGTGGCTACTGCTCAGGCCACTTCTCTTGGCCATATATCGAAAAGAGCCTCTTTGGTGCTTGGTTCTGCCTCAATTCTCCAAGGTAATTCCAGTCGGAGTCCACCTGAACAGAGGACCTATGTTCGAGTCACTAGGCCATCCAAGAAGCCTGGTTTTGTTCGAGCTCGTGCGGATGAAATTGAGTCTTTCGCTAGAATTCCTCATGTGGGAGCTCATGTAATCTGTGGCAATCGCAATGGAGAATTAGCTTTCAACTTTGTCAATGGTGAACTGACTATGATTGTGTGAGGATCCGAATCCTCTGTCGAACCCCATGGTGCTGCTCCTGGCCATAGCTGAACCTGTAACAAAACTCAAGAAGAGAGTATGAGGAAGAAGATGAACAGGGACTGGGAATTGAGACTGAGATTGAGAAGAATGAAGACAGGAGTTGAGTTTGAGGGGAGAACAGAAATTAGAGTTGAGAGGAAGAACAGAATTCTTATTCATTCATATCATTTCAGTTTACAATCCCTTCTTTATACTCCAGCTCAAAACAAAGAAACACAAAAACGTGCACAAAACGTGCACGGCTGAACAAACAAAACAGAACAGAATTAACTGTTCGTAACAGACTTTTACACATTTATTATAAACCCCCTGTATTCAAAACATGTGCACAACAGCTCCACAAGTGTATCAGCTCAGTTTTCCCCCAGTACCTATGTCCTCCAGCTCCGCAAACAGGTTTCCAGTTATCAATTCATATGACAGGTTTGTGGATTGATCTCCGGAACCTGACAATTGATCTCTAGTTCCTGACAATTCCCTCCCCTTAAATTGGACCTTGTCTCAAGGTCAAGTGTAGGAAATTGTTTAACAAGTTCCCAGGAAGGTCTCCAAGTTGAATCTAATGAAGTGCGCTACTTCCCTTTGACGAGAACTTGAGATGTCAAGCGATTCCCTTTGACAACCGACCTCCTGTCCATAATTTGCCCTGATTCAACAACTATAAGCTCACCACGACTCATCTTTGAAACAAATTGAAGAAACTTTGAATTCTGAAAATTTTGACTGAGGAGATCAACATCAGCTAAATTCTTCAAATCAACAATCGAAAGCTCATCGAGCCTTCTAACCACAAGATCAGCTACACTGAGCTCATACACTGGGTGCTTGCTTGCGACCCCAATACACTTCATTCGGGCATCATGGGCTGCCTCAGTAGAATTCGAATTCCCAAAAACAATACATCTCTCAGGTATAAAACTAAGCAATTGAGCCACGTGTACAAACATCTCAGGATATGTCTGTGGTTGTAGATCATAATTGAAACTCCTCTCTGTGTAAAGTCTAAAGCATTTTCCAGGTTGTGTTCTACCAGCAAGACCTGACCTCTGGTGCGCACTTGCCTTTGATATAGGAGACACCAATAAAGATTCCACACGAATCCTTGGGTTATAAACCTTTTGCTTAGAGAACCCGGGATCAGTAACATATACTATTCCATCAATTGTAAGTGAAGTTTCTGCAATATTGGTTGAAGCCACAATCTTTCTCCCAGGAGGGCCACTCTCTTTTAATGAAGTTTCTGCAATATTGGTTGAAGCCACAATCTTTCTCCCAGGAGGGCCACTCTCTTTTAATGGAGGAGGGTCAGGCTCAAAAATTTTCTGCTGCATTAATCTTTCTCCCAGGAGGGCCACTCTCTTTTAATGGAGGAGGGTCAGGCTCAAAAATTTTCTGCTGCATTACTGGAGGCAATGTAGAGTACAACGGAATTACTTTTACGAAACCAACTTGATCTCCCATATTGTTGATTTCCTTCGTGATCTTCTTGCATGCATCTTCAATCTCTTCCTCACCAGTAAGAAAAACAAGTATATCACCTGGAGGCTCACACATGTGTATTTGTACAACTGTCCTGATGGCAGCTTCCAAATGATCTCTCTGGATCTTGGGTATAGAAAATTTCCACAGGGTGCAGCCTTCCAGGCACCTTCATCAACGATGCCCCATTAAAGTATCCCTGAAATTTCTCATCCTCAAGTGTAGCACTCATCACAATTAATTTCAAATCAGGCCTATTTCTCAAAACCTCTTTCAGAAGCCCAAACAGGACATCTGTTGCTAAGGTTCGCTCGTGAGCTTCATCAAGTATTATAACCTTGTATCTCTCAAGAAGTGGGTCAGCCATAGCCTCTCTTAAGAGTATACCATCCGTTAGGTACTTGAGAATTGTTTTGTTGCTATTGCAATCCTCAAAACAGATGCTATAACCGACTTCTTCCCCTATTGTGACATCCATCTCCTCAGCTACACGATGAGAAACCGACATTGTAGCGATTCTCCCTGGCTGAGTAGAAGAAACCATTGGACGTTTACCTAAGTCCTCTAATTCCAAAACAAATTGAGGAATCTTCTTCCTGGCAGGAACTAGAGGTGATTCAACAGGGAAATTTGAGCTAGCATCAGCGTACGCCAAAAGACCACCAACTTTTTCCTCGAGCTCGGCCCTCGAGATCCCCTCAGGAGGCACCGATGAAAAAACCTGAGCCTTCGGCGATCCATTCAAAGCATACAACTTCATCTTCTTAGTCTTCTTCTTCTTGCTTGAGATTGGCCATGGTGGGTTCTTGAGTTTTGGCTTTCTCTTGCTTGATATTGGGTATGGCCATTTCTTGAGCTTTGGTTTTCTCTTGTTTGAGGATGGCCATGGCGGGTTCTTGAGTTTTGGCTTTTGGTGGAGACGAGAAAATTGCGGCTTCGTCTTTTTCTTCCTTGCATCATGTCGCTCCTTCAAGGTCTTATGGGTATCAGGACTGATCTCAATTACATTTTCAGGCTTAGGCTTTACTACAACTGCTTTTTGCTTAACTTCTTTGATAGGGCTTTTCTTGTATCTCCATCAACAGCAAGAACCACTAGCTTCTTTTTGACCACTTTCACACCAAAATTTCCCACATTCTCTTTCTTCGACCCATTTGAAATCTGGGACAAAGGAAGAGAGGATAACCTCCGCGAATGCCTCAAAGATCCCTGTAGGTTCTTGATGGATCTCAACGGCTCACTGAGCCATTTCGTCGAACACCTTTGTGGGGTTTTCTTGGAAGAAGAAATAGTTACAGGAGTTGGGGCTTGATGAGAATGAAGACGCTTCTTGTACTCGTTGTTTCTACAGCTTGGATCGCTTCTCATCGGAGCTGACATCGGCATTTGTGAGGCTCGAGAGCCTCGATACACCCTCATGGAGCTATTCCTAGCCATGGATGAACTAAGACTGTGTGCAGGCTGAAATTCTTCAGAAAAATCAACATTCATTTGAGTTTGGGAGATGTGGGTAGGTTCATAATTCCTCTTGCTTGAATCTTTAGTTCCTGGCCTAGAGATTTCTCTGTTTTCTTTTGATTTGGAGCTCAAGATCCGACAATCATCCCTTGGTATACCTCCACCAGAACTGTAAGGTGGCTGAAATTCTTTGCTGAAATCATCACGCCCTTGCGATCTCTCATTGTTGTAATCAACTTGCAGTTTATTGAGATTGAAAATTTGTATGGCTAATTGACAACAACCATCATAAATGTTGCGTCCTTGTAGAGAATTCATTGCTTCCACGGCCTTTTGTTGTGATTTGAATTGGATAAGAGCTTGAAAGCCAATTGTCTCTTGAAGAATGACGATCTTCTCTACAAACCCATATGGAGAAAATACTTGATGCAACACTTCCTCCGTTATAGGATAGATCATTGTGTGAATGGTGACGAAGAGGATTCGATTGGGTTGCGAATCTTGATCTGTGAAGCTCTTGCTCATTTCTTGGCTTGGATTCTTGAAGTTCATGAGTTCTTGGAGAAGCTTTGCATTCTCGTCCAGATGAGAAGATATCCTCCTCATTCTTGCCGCCCATTGTTGATTGAATAAGCTTTGTTCTGATACCAATTGTGAGGATCCGAATCTTCTGTCGAACCTCATGGTGCTGCTCCTGGCCATAGCTGAACCTGTAACAAAACTCAAGAAGAGAGTATGAGGAAGAAGATGAACATGGACTGGGAATTGAGACTGAGATTGAGAAGAATGAAGACAGGAGTTGAGTTTGAGGGGAGAACAGAAATTAGAGTTGAGAGGAAGAACAGAATTCTTATTCATTCATATCATTTCAGTTTACAATCCCTTCTTTATACTCCAGCTCAAAACAAAGAAACACAAAAACGTGCACAAAACGTGCACGGCTGAACAAACAAAACAGAACAGAATTAACTGTTCGTAACAGACTTTTACACATTTATTATAAACCCCCTGTATTCAAAACATGTGCACAACAGCTCCACAAGTGTATCAGCTCAGTTTTCCCCCAGTACCTATGTCCTCCAGCTCCGCAAACAGATTTCCAGTTATCAATT